TAATGAGAGCGGCCAGAACGGGGAGGGGGCTACAGCCTCCCCCTGCCCTGGGTCACAAGTGCCTGAGTGGAGCTTGGTGCCATCTCCCTCCCCCCCCCCAACTAAGGGGGCAACAGGGCACCCTTGGGTGCCAGGGACCCCCCAACTCATCCCCACACTCCTCCCCGCCCCGGCCCGAAGCTCTCGGTGAGGGACGGAGGCTGCTGCATCTAAGACACTTTATTACGTTTGGGGGATCTGCTACGAGCAGGAGAGGGTGGCACCTTGCTGCATCACCCGGTCCCACTACAACTGGCAGCAGGGGGGACATTGGGGCCAGGCTGAGGCCGTGCCAGCTCATCTCACCCCACGCTGCGCCCCTACTCCTTCTTGCCGCCCCACTTGGCCATCTTGTTGTTGATGGGCATCTTGGCAAAGCGGCTGGATTTCAAGTAGGCAGCCACCTTCTCCAGGGCCTGGAGGGGGAGAAGGAGAGGACCTGGCACTTGCGGGGCCGGGCCCTTGTGCACATCCTCGAGCAGGACCCTGCGGGTGTCACCTCGCCCCCGCAGGTGTCACCTCAGCCCCCGCGCTCACCCCGAAGCGCTCCATGAAGTCCTGCAGGTTCTTGAAGGGCTCCAGGCACTTGGGCTCGAAGATGCGGTTCTGGTCGAGCACGTCGAACATGAGGAAGTCCACGAAGGTGAGCTGGGGAGGAGCGAGCGGGTGAGCGGCACCGCGGGTGACCCCCCCTGCGCCACCCCCGGGGTCCGGACCTACCTTGTCCCCCACAAACCACTTGCGGTCCCCCAGGAAGTTGGAGAAGAGCTTCAGCTTCCCTGGCAGCTGCTCCAGGTACCCCGGCTTCAGCTTCTCCTGCAGAAGGAAGGGGGCAAAAGGGTGGATGCCCAACATCCACCCGCTCTGCAGGGGACACTGGCCTCTCTGGATGGGTCCCCAAGTGATCCCGGTGCTACCACCATGATGGGCACCCACAGAGCACTCACAAACTCGGGGTTGTAGCAGACCATGACGAGGCTCATGCGGAAATCCATGACCTGGTTCTCCAGCATGTCCACGCGGACCTTCTCCTCCTCCGTGTCACCACCTGCGGCCCGGGGACACATCAGCGCCCCGTGATGCCCCCGGGGCCCCAGCGCCCTCCCGGCAGCCCCGGGCGCTCACACATCTTGTGCTTGCGGGCGATGTAGCGCAGGATGGCGTTGCTCTGCGTCAGCTTGGTCTTGCCGTCGATGAAGTAGGGGAGCTGCAGGGGACAGGGGGGGACACGTGAGGACACCCCCTCCAGGCAGCTCCCCTCCCCTCCAGCCACCCCAGTAGCCACCTACATTGGGGAAGTCCAATCCCAGCTTCTCCTTCTCCTTGATCCATTGGCTCTTGTCATAGTCGGGGGCTGCGAGGAGAGGGACAGAGCGGGGGTGTCACCCCCTGCATCCCCCGCCCAGCCCCACAGCAGGGAAAACTGCCGGGATGAATGGACGGGAGCCGGAGCGGGAGGAGCCGCCGGGAAGGGGGCGGGTGTCCCGGTCCGGGGC